TCTGTCTGTCTGTGTGTGTATATGTGTGCGTGTGTGTGTTTGTGTGTGTGTGTTTGTGTGTCTGAGTGCACATAATATGTAGTTTTGTTTGATAAGAGTTTAACGGTGCTCGTAACTCCATAAGGTCATAATAGCGCGCGGGATTCAAGTTGATGGTTTTTATATCAAGTCCAAGCATACCTTGGTTTTCGGTTTCAAAGTCGGAATCGTTTTGGTATAATATTATTTATGTCTCGCAAAGTGCTATCCGAAGACAAAGACCAACCAGGTAAAGCTCAACAGAGACTTACTTACCTACCACTGATTCACTTGATACCATCACACGGGATCTGCAGATGTCATCACACACAAGCCCCTGTCACGTGACTGACACATGAGCCCACAGTGACTGACACCCTTCGGGACGTGCGTGTGTCGTTTTGTGTACTGTGTCCCCACTCTATCGCGCCCCGTCTCCTATGTCTGCCAGACCACAGAGCTGGGAGCGGGGGACAGGTGGGGCGAAGGTGACGACGAATTATAAAGATAGTCTGAATCTCAGGGTGAGTAACGGGCTAAGCACGTACGTCATCTTTCGCTTTTTCTTTTGTTTTGTTTTGAATTGTTTTGTTTTGCTTTATATGGCTTTATTTTTCCTATATTATTCGCTTCATTTCTGTTTTCTCAGGGCGTCTGTGTGTGTGTGTGTGTGTGTGTGTGTGTGGGGGGGGGGGGGGGGGGTGAGTAAAGAGAATCACATCAAAGAAATGATGGTCATTTAGCGCAGGGAAAGATAAAAGAGACAGACTGAAACAACGGCAGAAAACACAGGTGGGATAAACCAATGGTGCCCTTCAATCTACATTATATTCTGATAAATCAACGTTTACATTGAAGAGTGGGTGAGATGTAGAGCTAAAATGGAGACTGGATGCGGTTAGGGGGGGGGGGTAGAGGGGTCCTAGTTAAGTAGGTGATGATGGTTGCCGATTCACAAAGACTGCCTAGCAGGCTAGATGTAATTAGAAAATTATTATATTAATTCTTTACACCCCGATCGACACTAAAATTATCTGGGAGACGGGAGGCTTTGCCCCGCCCCTAATCATGGCCAACTCAGACACAAGGGATTCAACCTCCCAGCAGAAGGACAAAGGCACCCAACATAAATAAACCTTCCGATTTCAAAGTGGAGAATGTTTTGTTTGTTTGTTTGTCTGTTTGTTTGGGTTTGTTTATTGGTTTAAAAAAAAATCAAATCAAGTATCTCTCGGTCTTTCTGCTGGTACGTTGTATGCCTCTCAACCCAGATTGGCCCCGGTCCTATCGGAGACGGACGTTAAACTAGGAGGTCCCGCCTCTTAAATAACCTAATAGTGTTGATAGGGGCGTTAAACTCATACCATTTCACCATTTTTTTCAC